TGCATACTTGCAAGAGCTCCAGGTAAAACCAAAAGTCCTGGTGTGCCAGTGGCTTATGCTGACGAGCTGGGACCGGCACTTTGCAAAGCGCCGATAGAGAGTCTGCTTACGAACGGGTCATTGCAATGTTTGCAATTTTTTTAACTTGGAGGGCGTTGGCTTAGGAACGAATGGGCTTATAATGGGGTATATACGGTAGCTGGTTCCCTGGTACTTCCCAACTGTAGTCAAGCCTGCTTGTTTTATTTAGCGAAATAGATGTGGTCAGAGACCAGGATCCCATTGATCTGTACAAACACAAGCCAAAACTATGCTCTCTGCCCCACAGACCTTACAATCCAAACCTGAGACACATGATAACAGATGGAAACAGACAGGTGGGAGTGTACAAAGAAACAACGAGACGATATCAATGAGGCTAAGATGTAGCAGACCCAGAATATCAGCTGTTGTCGAGTTTATTCCCATCTTACATACTCACCCGCTGCAGACTTGAATTTTGCTTTACATAGGGCCTGATCCCAATACAGCACAATAATTAATAACAAGCACAGACCTTCACTCTGAGCGCTATTAAACAATTCCGGGGTGAAGCCGGATTGCCATCTTTTTCATATTCCTTACTAGTCCGTAGCGAGTGCACATTTCTGCAAAGGGGGGTCAAATGGTGGGTTTGCAGGCAGGTCAATTTCCTGATTCTCTGGTGTAAGAAAAGGACAACACTGGTGTGACCGCTGGAAAGAAAAACGAGACTCCCAAATGAAGTGGCGACGTTCGGTGACAGCCAGATGGCCCCCCACCGGGCCAGAGCGGCTCAGCACGGGGCGGCTGGAAATGCTATTCTCAGCACGGACCAGAAGAGGAACATTTGCATACGCTTCGAACGAGTGACCTTCTCTTTCTCCGGCAGAGGAGGATGTGCCAGAGGAGAAACCGAGCCGGATGGAAGAACAGCCAGTGAGTGGGATGAAAGGCCCCGCCAGAACAAAATAAATCTGGAGGAAAGAAAACAAAGTGGGTGAAATCCGCTTCTGCACAGGTCTGCATTGGCGTGGCACACTGTAACCCACCCACGTCCTCAGAAGAGAGTGAAAATGTAGTATCGGGCTGATTCTTTGCATTTATCCTACAGGGAGAACAACATTTGTCAGGGTGGTGAAACACTGGAATAAGTTGTCTAGGGGGTTTGTGGAATCTCTAACATCCCTGGAGATATTTCAGAGCAGGTTAGACAGACACCTGTCAGGGATGATCTAGGTATACCACATCCACCGCTTCTCCCTTATCCACACGTCTCATTATCCTATCAAAGAAAGCGATCAGATTGGTCTGACATGATTTGTTTTTTACAAATCCACGCGGGCTGGCTGTTCCCTATCACCTTAATATCTGTCAGATGTTTGCAGATGAATTCGTTAATTACCTGCTCCATTATCTTTCCTGGCACAGAAATTAAACTAACTGGTCTGCAGTTCCCTGGGTTGTTATATCCCTTTTTATAGATGGGCACTATACGTGGAATGCAGATATTGCATTTGCAACCCGAGAGCGTGGTTCCAATCTCGCTGAAATTAATCATTTTTTTTCACTGACTTCACTGGGCTTTGGCTCAGGTCCATGCTGTTCAGCAGAGCAGATAGCTGAGGCAGACACATGCTCTGTACTGTGCTGGAGAAACCACATGCAGAGGAGAGACAATGATGTGGTAGCATCTTGGGGCAATGGTACAGTTCGCTGCAAAAAGCCACCAGCAGTTCCAATCTCGCTGAAATTAATCATTTTTTTTCACTGACTTCACTGGGCTTTGGCTCAGGTCCATGCTGTTCAGCAGAGCAGATAGCTGAGGCAGACACATGCTCTGTACTGTGCTGGAGAAACCACATGCAGAGGAGAGACAATGATGTGGTAGCATCTTGGGGCAATGGTACAGTTCGCTGCAAAAAGCCACCAGCAGAGGTAATCTCTCAGGGCCAGATCCTGCACACAGCCCCCTCCAGAATCTAGCTCCCGTTGCCTGTGAAATTAGCAGCCTGACCAAGTGGGAGACTCATTAGATGTGCCGTTAAGCAGGGGACATAACTGCTACCTGAAGGATACGGTGACTGTCGGCAGGAGTCAGACCTGAGTAGCAGGTAAAACCTGCCAATGGGTCTCGGGTGTCTGGAATAGGGCTAGCTCCCTTTGATAGACATACCCTGAGAGACATCCCACATTCCCGGCATGCAAACCCTCACCACGCCCTCCACATCCTGATTCGGCCTCAGCTGCAGTATTGTGTCCAGTTCTGGGCACCACATTTCAGGAGAGAGGTGGAGAAACTGGAAAGAGTCCAGAGAAAAGTCGTCCGCCTTTGGCAATTGTTTGGATCGGGACACAGATTTCGGAATGGGTGGAAAGATGCTTTCAGTTGAGAACTAACATGAATTTATTGCAATGATGCCTTCAGGTCACAAGGTGTGACCAGGGCCCCATTAGGCTAAGCTCCATGCACATATAACACCCAGACAGCCCCTCCTCCAAAGAGCTGCCAGGCTTAGCATAAAGATGAGACGCACAGCCAGGCACAAAGGGGTCTCGATCTATTGCACACGGCTTCTGGGCACTAGGACAATGAGAATAAAGAACTGTAACAAGCGGAGACAACAAACAGGCCGAGGGTTGCCCGGTAACAGCCTGGCAATGAGGCTCCATTGTTGGAAAATGTGGATCTGGTTCTGCATTTGGTGTCCTTGTCCACCCTGAACGGCCAGGTCTGTTCACAGTTGAAGTCTAGGTTCATGCCCCTTTATATTTACTCTAATCTCCCCCACTGAAAAAACAAAGATTAAAATAAATGTTATCCATGGAATTGGCAGCATTCGGTTCCTTTTATATAATTTTAATGAATAACTTTAATGTGTATTTTAAGCCAATTTTTTATTTTGATCAGTTGAAATATTCATAGCCGTGGGAAATTACAAAGGAGGGGGTCAGAGCAGGCAGACAATAAGCATTTAATGACAGCAGGGCCTACTGGTTTTTCCCAAACCAGGGCTAGAACCCACAACCCCACTGTTTCCCAGGCAATCACCCTATCCCCTAGGCCACACTGGAACCTGAAATTGGAGAAGTGAAAGCTTTCAGACCCACAAAGCTCCCTTGTCATTTTGGTTGCCCCCTGCTGGACTCTCGGCAGTGCGTCCACATGGGGGGTTTCAAAACTGGATGCAGTACTCATAAGAGGGGCCAGACGGGGTCAGACCAGAGGTCCATCTAGCCCAGTATCCTGTCTGCCAATGCCAGGTAACCCAAAGGGAGTGAACAGAACAGGGAATCATCAAGTGATCCTGCTCCTGTCCCCATTTCCAGACAAACAGAGACTAGGGACACCAGCCCTACCCAGCCTGGCTAATAGCTATTGATGGACCTAACCTCCATGAATCTATCTAGCTCTTCTTTGAACCCTGTTACAGTCCTGGTCTTCACAACATCCTCTGGCGAGGAGTTCCACAGGTTGACTGTGTGATGAGGAAAGAAAAAATTCCTTTGGTTTGTTTTAAACCTGCTGCCTATTTATTCCTCTGGGTGACCCTCTAGACTACGGAGGTGCCCTCCCCAGTGCCAAATAAAGTGGAACAATCACTTCCCTCAATCGGCTGGCAATGCTCCTCCTGCTGCAGCCAAGTCTGCTATTAGCCTTCTTGGCTACAAGAGCTCCCTGTTGACTCCTAAAGCCAGGAAGGTGTCTCTTAAAGGGGAGAGCCCCTCGAATCTCTCCTCCAGAGGGGCCGACCCTCTCCCCCACTCGCCAGCCTCGGGAGGGGATGCCTGGGGAAGAGGTGCACTGTGGAAAGAACAAAGCCGCTCCCTTGAAGACCTGCAAAGCCGACAGGCAGCGAGAAGCTCAGAGACGTGCCCGCAGCACAGCAAAGGGGGCGGGGGAGTGAGACACAGCTCAGGGGCTGTCCGTCTGGTTGCCATGGGTTTCCTGCTCCTCCGCTGCTGCTCCCTGTCTGGCTGGCGCACGGGAGGCGCACTTGTGGAGAATTCACACGTGGGCCCTGGCCGGCGGCTGTGGGCCTGAGCACCCACGGGGCCAGAGCGAGGCAAGGCCAGCTTCTGTCCCCACGCCCGGAGACACCTGCTTCCCAGGGCCCTCTCACTCGCTTCTCCTCTCTCTCCACAGCAGCGCACGCGCCTGCCGGTGTGTTGCAGGGTGTCGGCCACACGTTCAGCGCCCTGTCCAGGTCTAGGATAGCAGATAGGACCTGGGGATGACAGGGGCTGAGAAGCTGGATAGGAGTCAACAGGGCGCCCTCGTCGCCAAGAAGGCTAATGGCAGATTAGGGGGAATTCGGAGGAGCATGGCCAGCAGATCTAGGGATGTGATTATTCCCCTTTATTCGGCTCTGGTGAGGCCACATCTGGAGCGTTGTGTCCAGTTCTGGGCTCCCCACTACAGAAAGGATGTGGACTCATTGGAGGATCCAGTGGAGGGCAGCAAAAATAATTCAGGGGCTGGAGCACATGACCTATGAGGAGAGGCTGAGGGATTTGGGCTTGTTTAGTCTGCAGAAGAGAAGAGCGAGGGGGGATTTGAGAGCAGCCTGCAACTCCCTGCAGGGGGGTCCAAAGAGGCTGGAGAGAGGCTGGGCTCAGTGGGGGGCAGGGGGCAGAACAAGGAGCGATGGGCTCAAGTTGCAACGGGGGAGGTCGAGGTTGGAGATTAGGACAAAAACTTTCCCTAGGCGGGTAGGGAAGCCCTGGGCTGGGTTCCCTAGGGAGGGGGTGGAATCTCCATCGTTAGTCCTGGTTTGGGCAGGGGGCTGGACTTTGTGACTCCTGAGGTCTCTGCCTGCCCTGGGGTGACTCTCTGCTTCATGCTTTCCCGGCCACTGTCCAGCGTGCACAAGACACTGCAGCCCACATGCACAGCCTAATCGTCATGAGCCATGATGACCAGCTGCAGATTTCATCTCCACCGCGGAGGGGGCACCCAAATCACTTTTGACACCCAAAGAAAGTCAGTGCTGCCAAGGTGCCAAAGGTGGAGCTCCAGACAGACACCCAAATCCCTTTTGAAAAATCGAGGCCCGGGGTTCCTGGTATGTAAAATCTGGCTGGGATGCTGATAAGCCATGGAACCTGGGGCAAATTGCTCAACATTTCGGTTAGTCCTTTCCGTACCTTGAAAAGGAGGCTAATGAGGCTAACAAGGCTACTTGCTTTGCAAAGGGGTTGCAAAGATCCATCAGCCAATCTCTGTAAATCTGTGCTAAGGGCAGCAAAAATGTTGAGGGGTTTGGAACGGGTCCCATATGAAGAGAGATTAAAAAGACTGCGAGTTTTCATTTTAGAAAAGAGGAGACAAAGGGGGGATAGGAGAGAGGTCTATAAATCATGACAGGTGTGGGAAAAGTGAATAAGGAAAAGTTATTTGCTTATTCCCACAATATAAGAACTAGGGATCACCAAATTAAATTAAAACAGATAGCAAGTTTAAAACAAACAAAAGGAATTTTTTCTTTCCTCATCACACAGTCAACCTGTGGAACTCCTTGCCAGAGGATGTAGTGAAGACTAGGACTTTAACAGGGTTCAAAAAGAGTGTGATAGATTCATGGAGGTTAGGTCCACCAATGGCTATTAGCCAGGCTGGGTAGGAATGGTGCGCCTAGCCTCTGTTTGTCTGGAAATGGATGAGAGGAGAGGGATCACATGATGATTATTAATGGCCATTTCCTCTGGGTGTACAGCCGTGCTCCTCCCAGAAGATTCTTCAGCGATATGTTTGCTATTTAATCAGCTCACAACCAGTCAGGCAGAAATCTAAAGGCTGGTCAGGGTATTTCTCTCTGGGAAGTTATTTCCTTTTAAGATGTGATATACAGGGAACCCCTCCTTGCTGCACCGTTTGCTTTGCAGGGGGAAGACAGCAATCGAGAAATGCAAATCTTTTGACACTCTTCCAGCCAGGTGCAACTGATAAAAAGCCTGTTGGAACTGGTATGGCTAC